CTACATCCCAATCCCAAAGAAGGGAAGTGCCAAAGAATGCTCCAACTACTGTACAATTGCACTGATTTCACACGCTAACAAGGTTATGCTCAAAATCCTACAAGGTAGGTTTTGCTCATTACCCCCAGGATTTTCATTTTTACCCCATTTGGGGTAATTTACCCCTGTTCCCAGACCACTGCTCTACTGGATATCTCTGAGCAGACAAAATGCTACCAAAAAAGGATGCTAGTCAAAATTTATTTATTTATTTATTGAACTTGTATCCCGCCCATCTTGACACTGTCTACTCTGGGCGGCTCACATCAAATAGCTGTCTAATCCGGGCGGCTCACATCAAATAGAAGAAAAACAGTTAACATATGACAAAAATTTCACAACAGCGAACAATCATTCAAGATGAAGAGAAAAATAAATCAAGTGGTGCCCGGAAGGAAAGCCTGCCTAAATAGCCAGGTTTTGAGTTGGCTTTTGAAAATACCCAGCAAAGGGGCCAAGCGGATCTCGGAGGGGAGATTATTCCAAAGATGGGGAGCCACTGCCGAGAAGGCCCGGTTTCTTGTTTTCTTCCTTCGGGGCCTCCCTCAGCGTTAGGCCCCTCAACCGCCCCTCCTGGCTAGAACGAGTGATACGAGTAGATCTAGGTATGGCTCGTTCTTGGTGACTAACGTTATTCTGATTTTTACTTTCCAAAAGACTCTGTAAATTCTCTTCCATCTTTTCCTCCTGAACAGATTTTCCATGAGAAGATGTAAGCGAGTGGGGAAAGACAAAGCCTTGGCAAGACCAGAAGTTACCGTATTTTTCGCACCATAAGACGCACTTTTCCCCCACAAAACAGGGTGGTGGTGGAAAGTCTGTGCGTCTTATGGAGCGAAGAAAACAGATTATATTTTCCTGTTTTCTTCTCCTAAAAAATTGGTGCGTGTTATGGAAATGTGTGTCTTATGGAGCGAAAAATACGGTACATTTTTTTGGATGACTGCTTCCAGAATTACCATGCTGGCCAGGAGATTATCTGCTTAAAAAGAAAAATGACGTCCTCAGATCTATTATCAGTCTTGGGCATTCAGCGTTGTGGAAAGGGGCCCCCTGTTTTGTTCCTCTGTCCTGCCATGTTCAAGGAACTGCTTTCCAGCCAGCATCCCATAGCTTTTATGCTGAGGACCAGAAAGGACCACACAACCTGACACCAGTGACACAGAGCATCCAGCATCTTTCTAGCTGATCGCGTCTCGAAGAATCTTGTCTACTAAAAGTGAAAAAGGACAGTCTCTATAGGAACTGCTAACCACGTCTAGAGGAAAGTGAGGCTTACAAGGAACAACTTGTCTCTTAGAAAGCCCAGGACTTCCTCAGAAGGAGAGCTTACTCTTTCGGTTTACATCCATAGCTAATTAATTATTGTCCAGCTTGGATTGAATGACTCAGCAAAACTGTTCTTGGTATTTTGATTTTTTTAAAATCCCATCTAGAAAGGTTAACTTGTCTCGGGGCGTAATACCAAGAAACTCAGCCCCCCAGCCCCCTAAGGCTGACTGGAAGATTCTTAGAGCTGTAATCCAAAAATAAAAATAAAATAAGGGAAGGAAAGGAAAGGAACATTTCTCTAAAGTCTGTTTCTTCAAAGAATCTGGGATAGACAAACAGGTTCCATCAAAGCAAATATACTAAAAACCGGAAATATCGGAAATATCTGGGACTATGGTGCTTTTCCTTAGTTCTCCACTTGAAAATGAGATGGCCATTATTCTATCAGGAGGACATAAGGAGCCTCCTGGATTCAGAACTATTTCTTGGTGGGCAGATACTCAGGCTTGTTACACGTGACTTCTGGACTATCACTAGCATCTTTCAGGCAGGGTTTCTTCCCCTCCACCTCTGTTATTTCAGTTTTAGTATTCCCTCTATTTATTATTTCTTTATTTAAAATAATGTTACCCCACTTTTCTCCTTAAAAAAAGGACTCAATGGGGCTTGCATCATTCCAAACACAATATGAAAAACTAAAAAACAATAGATTATTCAAATACTGAAGAAGAATTAATAATATAATATTTAAAATGTTAGGTAAAAGCATTAGTAGAAACAGAGTTAGAAGCAACAAAATATAAACCATCCTGTTGTTTCCTAGAGTGTCAGTTTCCTCTACTCCCGGATTCCCCAGAAGGATGTTAGCTTGGTCATATGTCATTGTAACAAGAATGCTGATAAGATAGGACCGATCTAACTTAAACATAGTTACAGCAATCTAGGGAGGTTATGGGACTGGAGTCTGAATCACAGGCTCCCTTTACATGCCTGGAAAAACATTAATGCCTCACTAGGCCAACACTATTTATGTCTCTTCCAAACTCCATGCTTGATTGTTGTGATGTGCTTTTCCTGGTGCTGCCTTTGAAGACTATGCAGAGATATAGACTGGTGCTAAATACAGCCACATGTTTTCTGTTAGTTGGAACCAGACATGCTCGCATAAAAAATGCAGTGGTGCCTTGCTTAACGATTGCCCCGCATTACGACGAATCCACTTTACAACAATCTTTTTGCGATCGCAACTACAATCGCAAAACAATGTTTTAATGGGTTTTTTTGGCTTTGCGACAATCGGTTCCCTGCTTCGGGAACCGATTCTTCGCATTACGACGATCAGCAAACAGCTGATCGTCGGGTTTTCAAAATGGCTGCCAGCTGCTCAAAATGGCTCCCCACTGTGCTTAGGGACGGATTCCTCGCTATACAGGCAGCGAAAATTGCCGCCGTATGGAGGATCTTTGCTGGACGGTGAGTTTTTACCCCACTGGAACACATCAAACGGGTTTCAATGCGGTTCAATGGGGTTTTTAATTTCGCTTTACGATGCTTTCGCTTAACGGCGATTTTCCTGGAACGGATTATCGTCGTTAAGCGCGGCACCACTGTACTCCATGTCAGTGACATCAGCTGCCAATCTACTTCCAGGTTCAATTTCAGAGAAATACTGGAACTGTATGTGCTTTGGACTAAGATATCAGAAGACACATTTTTGTGTTCACATGAACCCATGTGGACAGTAGCTAAAGTCTGCCCAACCAGCCTTTTGCTGCTCCATCTTTGTGACAAATAAAGACACCATCTGCTAGAAACACATCCATGATCACTGTGGCCCTTGACCTCTGAAATATACTTTGCACAGCGGAATATACCCTATTTCCCCGAAAACAAGACCTAACCTGAAAATAAGCCCTAGTAGAATTTTTCAGGATGCTCGTAATATAAGCCCTACCCCAAAAATAAGCCCCAGTTAAGTGAATCCCTGCCCTTTGCCCTTGTGCAGCAACCAGAAGATGACATGACTATATTTGAATAAATGTAGATGGTTGTACATGAACAAAAAATAAAATAAAACAACTCCTGAAAATAAGCACTCGTGTGTTTTTTTGGAGAAAAAAATAATATAAGAATGAAAAGGCAGAGCAAATCATCACCTCAACAGTCTCCCACTTTTCTTTACGTGGAAGCAATATCCTATTTCCATTTACTCGGATGTTTAAGCCTCACTGAGTTCAGTGGGGCTTACTCCCTGTTAGCAGGTACAGGACTGCAGTCTGAATTAATTTCAAGGATACATTTCTTCATTAGATGGGCAAAACATCCCCCAGCATTGTTGTTAGCATGGCATGGGAAACACAGAAAGCTGCCTTATCACGAGGCAAATAATATTTGGCTCCTCTGGACCAGACCAGTCCATTCTGAATCTTAGAAAGCCCTCTTCCGGACTGCAAGTGACGTTCCCAGGAAATACTAAGGATCTGCAAGTACTAACCAGGTCCGACCCTGCTTAGCTTCCAAAATCATTATGTTCCGGGTGATATGGCCAGAGGTGGGCAGACATGTTTCCGGATGACCGTTTCGGGAATTCTGGAAACTGTGGCCCAAAAAACACAAACCGGCTCACCTCTAGGTACAGCAGTTACTCATAAGGAGTAATAGGAAGCAACACCTATGGAAACAAATAGGAATACCTGTACAGATGGGAAAGTCCGGTTGATATCAGTGCTGTGTTCTCCTGGAATGCTTCCTGCTGATCTCCCTTCACATTTGTACCGGAAACGCATCCCTCTCTGTCTTGGCTGCTCACGTATTTCAATGTACGGTTCATGGCTACCTTTAGAAAGAAGAAGGGGTGGGGGGGTAAGGTGACATTAAAAATATTCCTGAACAGTAGAGGTTGATAACTTCCGATGTCATGGGAGTGGTGAATCCTCTTTGAGTTTTAGTTCATACTTTACAGCAGGGTGGATTTGATTTAAATTTTTTAAAAAATCAAATAAAAAAATCTTGATTTAAATCAATTTGATTTGTAAAAAAAATCATTGATTTTTATCCTGCTTTACAGGAACTATTCAAGCTGCTGAACCTTGTTGCCAAAATAAGTTCAGCATCTTAGGGGTAACTGCTTGTAAACTTCAGACAAAAAACCGGAGAGGATTCAAAGGCATAACAAACACCACTAAAGTCTTGGCTAGGGAACAGACCCTTTAAAATCAACTTCTGAAAGGTAGGTCAGCACTTAAAGGTCCGAAATCCTGTTGTGCTGCTATGCAGAAGGTGTAACTTTCAGTGGCGAATGGAAGATAATGTCTACAGAAATTGCTTAACTTGAAGCAATTTACTTCTAAAAGTTACACCTCTTCCATAGCACGGCAACAGGATTTCAGCTAATAGGACGAATCTGATGAGAAATAAGAGAGTAGCCTAGTTATTCAATTTCAATGGAACAACTGGCTCTCCTTGGTAGATCTTATGAGTTCTAGTTAAAAACAAACTTACTCCCCAGTAAATCTTCCAAAGTTGCAGATCTGTCCACCCACACCAGTATAAAAGCATTCCTAGTATAAATGGATCACAGCAAACAGCACAACAGAAAAGATAGAGAAAAGCACACTTCCAAAACATGATAGAATGCCTGGGCCCATGTTCTGTGGTCACTCACACTGAATGGTCATCATCATAATACATACCATGTTGGGCAACGGGGCCCAACGTCAACCATAGTCAACAAAAGCAGAAGAAAGAAATTATAGGTATTATGAGTTCAAAAACGCCCAGAGGGTATAGCAACATACACTGAGTCAAAGAACTAAAAGGGTAATCAAGGTTTGTTTAAAATCAAAGTAAGTTGGTTATTACAATAAGTCAGAACAACCGCTATAGCATAGGCAGTTATGTTCATGTTAGCCAGACCCGATGACATGAGACCAAATATTGCTGAATCACTTTCTGTCCAGTGTAACAATTCCTCTACCATTGTTATTAAATGTAGACATAACCCTCACTGTACTACTTCAGAGTATGGGGGGGGGCAGAATGATCCCCCATACAATTAGTTTAATTTATACTCTGCCTTTCTTGGATGCTGGACCCAGCGTGGTTCACAGTATACATTTTTGTTATTTCAGCTAAAGGTGTTTATATTATTTAATATAATATAAACCCTGAGTGCTCAATGGAAGGACAGACCCTGAAGCTGAGGCTCCAATACTTTGTTCATCTCATGAGAAGACTCCCTAGAAAAGACCCTGATGTTGGGAAAATGTGAAGGCAAGAGGAGAAGGGGACGACAGAGGATGAGATGGTTGGACAATGTCAACGAAGCAACCAACATGAATTTGACACAACTCCAGGAGGCAGTGGAAGACAGGAGGGCCTGGCGTGCTCTGGTCCATGGGGTCACAAAGAGTTGGACATGACTAAACGACTAAACAACAACAACAACAAATATTATTTAATACAGTATTTTAGTGAATTCTATGTTAGGAAAGTGCGAAGGCAAGAGGAGAAGGGGACAACAGAGGACGAGATGGCTGGACAGTGTCATCGAAGAGATCAACATGAATTTGACCAAGATCCGGGAGGCACTGGAGGACAGGAGGGCCTGGCATGCTCTGGTCCATGGGGTCATGAAGAGTCGGACACGACTAAACGACTAAACAACAACAATTAAATATGGAACTGAAACAGTTAGCCCAGAGAGGAGAGTAGGACGACAAGAGATTGTTTGGCGCTGCAAATATAATGGTAGTTCTAAGTTAAGGAAGAAATAGCCTTTGGTGAAGTTGAAGGCCTTTCTAAAACTTCTGGTCCTTGAGCTGGCACAGGAAACTTTCCGTTAAAAGGAAAATGGGGCATCTCTCTGGACCAAATTCCAGAGAACGGTCCCATAAAGCAAACGCGGCAACAAGAGAGGAGAAAAAGAGAGGGCAAAACATCTCAGTCAGTGTGGCAAAGTGATGGTCTTCATTAGGATGTACATAATTATACAAAGCATTCTCCACACATGTCATGTGGGTCTGTTTTAAGGGTGGGAGAAGTCTAACGGTCATATTACACTTGCCCTCACAGAATTCATGGCTTGAACGACA